GCGCCAAAAGCACAATGATCGTGATTCTTCACTCTCCTCGCTCGCATCGAGTATGGGAGGCTCAAAAAGCCCAATTGGGCAACAAAGTCACCCTGAAAACATGATGCCACCACCCCTGACTCCGCTGCAGAAGCGACAGAGCTTACCTGCAGATTTCGACAATGAGCAAAGCCAACTAGAGAACTCCACAGGGACAAAACGCAAACGAGAAGACCCCACTAGAAGCGTTGATCAAGGCACTCCAAGGCGTACGAAAATTCATCACAAGAGATCCCGCACTATTGGGGACTCGACCATGTCTGCTCCTCCACATCCTATGACACGTCCGCCTTACAAGTCCCGAATGGATGTCTCGAAGGTAAAGGATGGGTCGCTTCTCAACGACATACTCATGAAGCAAGCCCGTCGCCTAGCTCCCAAGGCTAGATCAGACACAACACGTACAGACTATTTCCAGCTCAAGGCTCTTGGCATCGATCCAGACACTCCCGTTATACCGTCAACGAAGAAGCGAACGGGGGATAAGATGGAAATTGATGAAGTCGAGAGCTCGTTGGAGACAACTTTATTAAGCCCTCCTCCCAGCTATGGCACGCGACTATCCGTCTCTCAACCAGATACACAGAATCAGCCCAGTTCAAGTAGAGTTTCAAGATCAGTGGATGATGACGACGAAGAGCTCTTTGCGCAGATACGTTCTGTCCGCGAAGCATTGGCAGAGTCAGAGCAATGGTGTAGATCCGAACGACAAAGTATCGAGAAGAGTATGACACCTCAACCCGAAAATTTCCCGCCTAACAACGAGACAACGGCACAGCGTAAACTCAGGGAAATTAGGGAACGAGGGACGACACCTTCGAGAACGGAGCTTAGGTTGAGAGCTATGGGCGACAAAGCCCTTCTGCCGAAGGGCTTTTGGGATGGCGAAGGGATGGGGATGAGTTTGGTAGGGAAGGGGAAGCAGAAGGAAGTGGCTACGCCTCTTCCATCAGGTCAACAGCGAGAGCAGGTCGGAACGGCGCCGAGGGGATTCGCAGCCTTGGAGAGGCAAACGCAGACGAATGGGTTCATGAGTGGTCCATCTCGACCTGCACATCATCTGAAACAGCAAGCGGCGGAGGCGCAGACGCAGAAGCAGGCGGGCTCGAGTGCGGAGGATGCGATTGAACTTTGAAGGAGGAAAAAATCGTGCACGCTTTGGAAGGTGCACCTGGAATTTTGCATAGCGATGGCGCAAAGAGTGTGATATGCCAAGGGCCGCGCTTTTATGTAGAGTACCGTTAGATCTTCTTGGGTGTCAATGCGAGACTCCGGATCGAGAAATGAAGGCCCGAACAGCTCGCTTGAGCTGCACCACACACTGTCGAAGCTCGAATCCGTCCATCCATCCGAACCGTGACCTACCACCGCCTCCGCTTCTAACCCCCCGATGGAAATCTACCCGATCTCAGCCACCTCGACGTCCCTCTCCGTCCATCATCCCGTTAGATAAGCGGCCGTAAAGTTCGAGCTCCGTAGCAGGTGTTGACAAGTTGTAGACCGGCCGGTATAGAGAGCTACTTGTAGTCCGCATGGCCAAGAATTCCTGCCCGCGTTCTTGGAGGCCATGGTGCCCCGAGTCTTGCCCCACTGACGTGCGACGCCGTGCCCGGATTGGCGGAACGATGATCCGCATCCGGGGCTGAAGCTGGCGTTTCCTTCCCATGCGCAAGAGTCGATTGATTTCGGTGCCGTTTTGGCCATCCGTTGTTGCTTAACGAGGTGGGACGACGTGGTCCATTGACCGTGGCGTGGGGGTGCTAGCAAAGGGCTGGGTGGACCTGGTAGCTGCGGATGAAGAAAGGATCGGTGGCTTTGGCTACATACATGGTTATGATCCCGGAACTCGGGTTCGTGCGATAACGGGAAAGAAGGGTGCAGGAACGTGGCGCTGGTGGTGTTGACGAGGGCCCGTGAAGCTGGCGTGTCTTCGCTTTTCGGAGGTTCGTTCGCTAGGGATAAGAGGGAGCTGTTGGAAAGGGTAGATGGTTTGGGTGCTGGTCTCTGTCGTTTTAATGGTTCGTTTTTGGGTATGGAACCGTCTGGATGTGTCACGGATGGACGGAAAGCGATTGGTGTTTCATTGAAGAGCTGCTATTGTCTATGTCTTGAGGATCTGTATCGCACTGCTGCCATTGTTCTCTGGCATCTCGCCTGGCGCAAGTCATTCGTTCTCGATGCTCTAAACGTACCCCGTTCACAACGTCCTGTTCACCGTGATGGAAACCGAGACCGCAGGAAAACGCCGGCTAGCCAAGTCCTAGTCATTCCCGCGCCATCGCTCTTCTATCCTCCAAGTAATCTTCAGTCAGATCGCAGCTAGCTCCCTCGTGCTCGTGAAAAGAGCAGATAGCTCCTGTTTTGGTCCAGTCGGTTGGGGGGAGATCATTCAGCCACCGGTAAGCAAACAAATTGCCCATAGCCAGCACAAAACCTGGATGGTAGCTTATACCATCTCCATCGTCGTAGATGCCGGCGGTGTTGTCGCAGAGAAGGTGCAGAAGTAGTTGACAGAGTTTGGACTCTTTCGGCAAGGTCTCCCAGGCCATGTTTATGCCTTCCATAGGTCCTCCCACATCATCCGGCCCATCCGCTGCCCAGTACATCTTGCAATGGTCTTTAAAAGTAGAGCTGAAACCGTAGACCTCAACCAATGCCGTAATGCCAGCATCTTTCAAGCGTGGAACCTGAAGTGCGTCGGCCAGAATGTACAGAGCAATGAGAGAAGCGAATGGAAGGTCGCGATAGTTAGCATGTTCCCACAACTTTCGGTGTGGATTAGTGAGTGGGAGATTTTCTGCATGTAGCAACTTTCGAAATATCACTTCTGAGCGCACTTTTTTTGTCAACTCCTTCAGAGATGGATTGAGCGACTTTGAGTAATTAAAACCTCTGAGACTGCCGGTGTACAGCCAATAGACGAAGTACTTGAAGGTCGCAGGATCCTCCTCAGGAAGCGTGAGTGTTCCATCGTCGGCCTCCTTGAAGTTACCGGTGAATGCTGCCTTAAAGAAGTCGGATCGACTGCAGATGAGGCCCTTGTGTATTTCAAAGCGTTGCTTTTCGGGACCGACGAGCACGACCACCATGGTGTCATAAAGGAATCTTGGTATCGATTAGCGTTGTTCGAAGAAGGCCTTGGCCAGAATCCAGATAACTTACGGGGTTTGCTCATCGGCGCTCTCCTGCTTTGGAGACCCTTCGTCGGTCGCTGCTGCTGATTGCGTTCCGGTCATGTTGTGTTGTCGCTGAAGATTGCTTCGTATTGGAAGGCAATCTAGTTGCTAGGTCGGAATCAGGATCATGTAGGATTGTGAATTTGTATGCTGGTATCCGAGGCCTGAAATGGCCGTTATCAATATTTGTTCATGGCGACGCCAACGACCCTACGCCTTTATGACACTCAGTCTGGCTTCACGAAGTCCCTAGTTTGCTAATTTCGCGAACAGTGTTTCTGAGGAACCTGCTGCGGAAGGCCGTTGTAATTGCTCAAGGTGCGTAATATCCTCGGTCACGCCCCTTTTGGAAGTCTAATGGAACCCGTAAAGGAGCAAATGGATGACCTCGGTCTCATTCTGCGAGCTCTTTATCACGGGATTGCAACCGTAGAGCCCACTTCGGCTCCTTCTCCGTATCTGCAACAACGACACCCTCTTCCGCTCTTCCCATAATGTCCCAGATCTTGACAACCCCGTTTCCTACTTTCCCAATCCAGGAACTTCCAGCATACCTCACGCCCTCCTCAACGCCTAGTGGGTTCTTGCCCGCTTCTTGCCCGCATCTGTTCCCGAACACTGCAATCACTTCCTTCTCCGCTTCCACAAGCGGTTTCAGCCTTCCCACCCAATAGCTCAATGTAGATAAATCCGGTTCCTCTGCATGAGCAGCCAACTCTAAGGCATCCAACCCTGTCAGCCAGGCCATTGAGAGTACAAGCAACTCCGACCCAGAAGCCAGAGCGTGAGATGCAAACTCATACGCTTCCCACGGAGCCTCGAATTTGTGTGGGTTCAGGTCCATGCATATGCCAAAATTCGCCCGTACACCCCGCTCTGGGCAAGTCTTAGGAGCGAATGTCAAAGAGGTTGAGAGCCATCCTGACGGTGATTCTTGAGCCCATGTTTCATCCGTGTAGTAAAGATGCGTCTTGCGGTAATGGGCCAAAATTTGGCTGGTGGGGGAGACAGTGACTGTGGAATTGTAGGCTATGGCTTCCCCGGCAGGCGAGAGGTCTTGAGTCTTTGTGCTGGAAGCAGGGGGTGGGGTGCAGAGCTCGGGGTAGCCGACTGTGACAATGCAATTGAGACGGCTGGCGGTCGCCCTGGCCCAATTTGTGGAGGGACCAGAGGCAGTGGGTTCGAGGTGGGGCAATATGGACGAGAAGGAAGGGTAGTTGTACCCTGTCTAGTAATCAGTGGGATGAACATTGGCTCGGAATAGAACATGACGAGGTGAAGAGGTAGTACCTGTGAAAGCGAGCTCGGGAAGAACTAGTAGGTCAATGTTTTGCGGAGATGCTGCCTCCAGTAGGGCGTTGGCGCGGGCGATGTTCTCAGGAAGCCTGCCTAGCTCAGGGTTGAATTGTAGGCAGGCTATGCGCATGTTGCGCGAAAACCTGGACGAAGAGAGGATGAAGCTTTGGAGTTGAAGACGAAGATCATAGGATCTGCTGCAGCCCAAGTTGTAGTTACCTATCTACTCTCACCATCACCATGATAGATGTCTATAATGAAGCTCTAATATGTATGCTATGCTTAATTCATAGCCCAAAACAAGCTTACCAGATTTCTTTGGAACATCTTTTGGTGCGTTCAGTATAGTTGGGAAGGAAAAGCACTAGGAACAAGACAACCATAGGTCTGGTCACATCAATGGAGACTTTACTTTGCAATTCTACCACTACTCTCCGGTCTATTTGTCTGATAGGCACCCTCGGAATATTGTACAATGTAGACCATAAGCTACGCCTTCAAAGCCGACATAGGCATGCTTTGACCCCAACTAGACGTCTTCCCCCGTGCGGCTCCATTCCCCGTATAGGCTTGCTCTTGCACGCTCCTCAAAGCATCTTCTACGTCCGATTCACGAAGCTGCTCCCTTGGAGGTATAACATATCGTGGAGTACCTTCTACCTCCACGGAAGGTCAGACTAATGGTGCAGTAGTTGACGGCCATACGTTCTTCTTTATTTGACAGCGTGCCTCAATTCCGACCAGTCTGCAATAGAAATTTAGCTTTGAAACACAGCGCAGACTCCTTAAACATACCCTGGACCCACGAAACCAGAATTTCTCAAGCGCTTACTATCCCAAAAAGCGTAACCAAGGCTTCGTGTAGTGTGTCGAATTCCGTGCGGAGAAACGAAATGAGTATTACCATACACGCAAAGCCAACCTTCGTTTGATCCATCAATGGTGTCTTTAAATGGGAAAAGGTTATTGCGGGCAACTGCGTGAATGTAATTGTGAATCAGATTGCTATCTTCGCGGGACATCTCTTTCCAAAATCCTTCCAATGCAGTTGATAGAGAACGCTTCTGCCCGTCGTAATAGATATGAGAAGACATCTCCCGCTGCATATTCAAACGGTCGAGTTGGAGAGCATGGTGTAAGAACGGTAAGCTCAAATTCGATAGGTAATCCGGGTATAGGCTATGGATCTGGAATTTGGCTTCACGTAACGCCGCTGACCGCTCGTAGGATCGAAAACTGGTGATTGCCGCAGGTTCCAATGGCGGCTCAGGCAACTGGATGCCTACGAAACTGGATTCGATCCGATCGAAAGAGTTGGAGAGCAGGGAGCAGCGGTAATCTTCGACGCAAGCTAGCTCCTCGATCTCCCACTGCTGATAATTTTCCAAGAAGAAGTGGGAATCTGACGGAAGTTCCCACAATTTTTCTCCGCTGTACTCCATGTCCGAACTAAAGATATTTGTGTACAATTCGTACCGAAAGAACGCTCGCTGAAGGCGGCCCTCCTCCACATCGGAAAGAGGGGCATAGCAGTGGTCTCGGTCTATAGGATGGCTTCTCCAGAGGCCGTTGGATTTCGGTAGGACAATGCAACCATCTTGTGGCGAGGTGTGGTTCTGAACTGATGCGGTGTCTCTGCATCGACGAAGGTAGCAATTCGACCGACTAGTCAGATCCTCGATGAAGTACTGCGTGGATTGGTACAGCTGGCACAAGGGCACCGCTATAGGTAGTGAATAGTGCTGCCCTTTTTGTTCAACAGTTTTGTGTCTCTTGTTCTCATAAGTTCGCAGAAAAGCCAGGACAGCCTTTCGGTCCGGGCCTACGTCTTTGAGTTGCGAGGCTTGCACAGCCGCCAAAGCATCGATGAATGCTGCAGGTCTGATCCTTCGGCGCATAAGTGAGATGAGGATTGTTTCTTTTGACGCCAAAAAGACTTGATAAGCTTTGGGCGAGGCTCGTATCAGCGAGTAGAGAGTTTGAGTGGTGGGAAGCTCAAGCAGTATTGGCGTGATAAGCTCGGCGGAAAGCCTATCAAAATGGTTGCGTTCCATGGTGCTGGTGAGAAGAGTGGAATGGGAAAGGAAGAGATGCGAAGACGTAGGTCAACTGAGGCAGTGTTGAGGAGGACAATAGTTGGAAGCGCCAGAATCAAACATAGACGCGTTCCAAAGAGTCGGTCTGTGGATGTGACCAAGCCTGCGTAAGGAAGAAGATTTTCGCGGTCGTCTGCTGGATCTGGACCTGGATCAAATGGTATGGACTTGATTCACAAGAGTGTCGAGGGCACCAACACAGCAGGCTAGAATACCAAATTAAGAGCAGCATAAAGGCTCAGCACCCAGCACTGTCCAGATTGCCCAAACCGGTTGGCGGCAAGTACTTCGATCGATGCTAAGGCGCCAGTTACAGTTCACGAAGGTAGCCCATGTTTTTACTAAATATTGGCGGCTATTTTGGCAACATATTTACACAATGAATATAGTGAGATCTCAGATCCGCTGATCAGCCACATCTCAACACCCGCCTTGTGTTTTCACAAGAGAGTCAAGAGCTGCACTGTCCTGGATATTTGCGTTGACTTGGGTCATCTAATGGGGTTGGAATAATTCCCTACGCAGAGCAGATTTCGGAGTCAGCGAAGCCTATTCAAGGCAGAGATTGGACTTGCAGGACAGGTCATGGGAGTGGAAAAGGTCCTTTTGCTCCCGAGACATGTCTCGTGACTCGATCTTACTACCGATGAAGAAGAAACCGCTCCGAAATGTACGTACCTTATTAATCCCGTCTTTGATGGACCACGTCCCCATATCATCATCTATCGAAGCGGTCAGCTTTTTGATATTTACTACCTAAATTTATGAGGGCAACCCTACCTGCCCAGCTCCAGAGCATATAACCACTCGTGCTAGCCTCGAAGCTTTCAAGTTGTGCTTCCACGAATTTCCTGACTTCCTCCACCACTACATCCGTCCACGTATCCATTGGGTCAGTCACACATACACATCCTTCAGTACTGCAAGTGCCAGCTGTACTGGTTCCGTCGGGATTGATACAGGCATTCGTCGTGGAAGACCATTCGCCCACGTAGACCGGAGCTAATGCATTTGCGCTACTGAGTGCCATGCCTCGTTGACACGCTGTAGTGATGTGCTCAGCTTGTGTAAGAGCGATGTCTGCAGCAACAAGAGTTTGATACATATGTGTGTCGATTCCAAAGACTCCTCTTGGGCCTAGAGACTTGGCAATGGTGGTCCAATCGCTTGGACCGTTAGGGGCAAACGCGTCATGCATGACTACCATCAGATTCTCATTGGTAGAATTGGCTTTGACAGCATGATACGCCTCTTGAGCCCATGTTTGGGTGGTACTGAGGGTGTTATTACCCCACGATATCGGTTCGTTGACAAGCTCTATACCCATGACAGTGTCACTGTACTCTTTGGAGCCATATTTTAGGGCCATGGTAGTTAAAACCGCAATCGATTTGGCGAGGTTGTCGCCTTGTTGCCACTCGACGTCTCCTTTGTGACCAGAATTATCGTACCTAGGTTTGACGTTAGCGGAATTAGGCGTCAGAGATCGAATTGCAGCTAGTCTTGGAAAGAAGAGAGGAATGATACCCACCCGTTCTGACCGCCCGGGCTACCATGGCAATCGACCCAGACCCTAAGGCCTGCAGTTTGAGCCCATCCTATCGCCTTTTCGAGGTAAGAATCTGCCCCCTGTCCAATCCCGTAAGAAACATATGGTGTGCCAGTATTGTCATAAGCCCTACACACAATCCGGGGTCAGCGTTCCCTCTGTAAGGTTAAAGCATAAGCCATGAGACTTATCTGGGGCTGGGAAGAGACATTCGCTTCTAGGGAAGACGAATAAGAAATGTACGTACCAAAAGCCAATAGGGATTCTGAGGGCGTTGATGCCGTAACCCTTAAGAGTTTGAACGTCTGCCTCGGTGAAATAAGTGTCCTGCAGAAGTTTCACAGTCAGTACTTCTTAGAGGCAAAAATTCGAGGACTAAGACAGCTGGAACGGCTATTAGGAGCCTTTTCTCGCGGGTTGTGTTTGGCAACCCGTAAAGTGGTCCATATTAGGAAGGATCTGCTACGAAAGGTGTACACACCCAGTGTTTCTGCAGAGCAGCGGCGGCTCCACTGGTTTGATCTAACGTCCACTGATCGACCGCGTCTTCTCCGTTTCCGGTAAATAGGTCATCACCATTCATGAACTTTTCAACAAGTAGCTGATTTGAATAACCAGAGTCAGTATTGCTTGTCGAAGAGTGTATATCGAGCCTCAGAGCATGCCTAGAGACGGAACATACCCAGGACATGCCTCAAGACTCAATGCTTAGTATAGAAGAGGAGATGTGGACTCCGAATATACTTACCCAGCCTCCAATGTTGACACCTCTCACGAATTCGGTACTTGTTGGGCTGTTCGACGAGGCCGCAGTTGTGGCGACGGATGCTCCGACTGGCGTCGAGATCTGCTTGGATGCCGCAGTGAAGCCAAAGGTACTGATAGTGGATGCTGTAGATGTCTCACTGGAGAATGTGACCACCGCAGTAGGCGATGATTGGACCGAGGCTAGGCTTGTCCCAGGAATATAGCCCGTTCCCACGGCTGTCCTTGTCCCAAAGGAGATTCCAGTCCCGGAAGGATATGCGGAACCAGAAGTTGTGAAAGAGCCAGTGCGGTAGCTCGTAGTGCTTTCGCTCTTCTGGGCTTGCGCCTTCGAAGAGGATGAAATTTGAGCGTATGCCGATGTCGAGGACGTTGTTGGGACGTAATGATGGTTCCATTGTCCATGTTGGTTGTACTGGCTCCATGGACCTTGAGGGCGAACCTGCGGGAGACCTTGCCAAGGGCCTTGCGGACGGGCCAGCGCTTGAAGAGCTAAACAAAGAGTGAGAACAACAGGATTGACCATGTTGATTTAGAACGGTGAAACGAAATTTCCCTTGAGGGACAAATGATGTATTCACAGGCACTGCCTGATTGTAAATGAAGGAGAAGAATTGAAGGCTTGATGACAAGGTAATGACCGTGGTATTCGAACAGCGAAAGAGTGACCAAAAGCAAATAGACCAATCAAAAAGGACAGTGGAAGCTCAAGAGGCAAAGAAAGAAGATTCGCGAAAGGATTGAAAGAGGGAGGAAGTAGAAAAGGAGACGGAGTGAGCGGCCATGATATCTGATGGCAGTACATGCAGCATCGCCGCACGGTCAGCGATTCTGGGTAACCTGAGACGATAACCCCTCAATTATTATCAGCATGCTGGCCCCTTCCACAAGCCTCGCTCACCCTTAATCTCATGGAATAGATACCTTGTTTACCTTAGATACTTTGTCAAGCAAATCAGGCGTGTTGGAGGGAGAGAGAGAAGGGCGGGAAAGTGAAAGTCATCTCCGAAGAAGAAAATTATACTATATAAACTTAATATAAAGTTATTCTAAAAGAGCGAAAAGATTATATTTAATATTAAGATTAAGAGATATTAGCTAAATAATAAATCTTTATTATTATATCTATTATTAGTTAATTAGAATAGTAAAGATCGTAAATATACTATATCTATTATAATATATTAGAGCTATCTAATAAGATAATACTAGCGTAACTTAATATCGCATATATCTACTCTATAGGCACATAGAATAATAAATATCTTTTATATTATATATCAAATTATAATATAGTTATATTATCTTCTAATAATATAATAGTAATATTTAAAGATTATTTAATAGACGTCTATTAAGTTTATTTCGCTTTCATATTAATTATCTACTTCTTCTCTAGAATTCTATCTATCTTAATATTAAATACGCTTCTATATTAATACTTATAGTTCTATAAGTCCCTATATTATATCGTTTATATTAATTCTTTTACTAGATTACTCGATATTATTATAATAATATTTAATAATTTTATTCTTAGCTTCTTAGTAAAGTAAATTCGCTTTATTATTAAGTTTATAAAAGATATACTTAATAAGATAATTAATAAGCGATTTAAATTATTATAATTATAGTAAAAGTAGTTAATTATAATATTAAAGTCGATATAGTAAGAGTAGAAATAAAAGTATAGACTATTATAATAGATAAATATAGAGAATATTATAAAGAAAACTATAAAGAATATTATAAAGAAATAAAGTATCGCTAATAGTAATAGTTTTATTTAAATTAACGTACTCTTTATAATTCTATATTAAGCTACTATATATAATTATAAAGAATCTTTCTCTTATTTTAGCTATATATTAGTTTTCGCTACTCCTCTTATCTCTCTTCTTATCTCTCTTTTTATTTTTTTCGCTTAATTATATTTAATTTACGAAGAATATAAAGACTATAGACTAAGGATAGATATATAAATATATAAACGGCGTATAATTAATATAGCTATTTAGAGATATAGCTACGAGAATATATCTTTTTTTTTATTCTTTACGAGTATATTATTACGATATATTAGAGTTATCTAATAAAATAATACTAATATAACTTAATATCGCATATATCTACTCTATAGATATATAGAATAATTAATATCTTTTATACCATATATTCAAATTATAATATAGTTATTTATTATCTTCTAGTAATATCCCTTAGATATATATTATATTATCGAGTTTTTCTTATTATAACTTTATTATATAACTCTCTTACTACTATTAAATAGAAGTATTTTAATATCTAAAAAACTCGTTCTAGCGAGTATAAATAGATTTTAGATACGATTCTTAAGAAATTATATAATTAAAAATATAGAAAAGAGCTTTAGCTTAATTTAATATATTATTATACTTATAATAAGTCTAATATTATCGAAAAGAAGCCTACTACTACTAAAATAATTTCTCTAATAATTATTTATAGTAACAGAACTTAAAGTAGTAGATTTATAGACTTTATCGATATTTTAATAAGCTTATATTCTATTAAATAACTACTTAGCGTATAGATTACGAAGAATAAGATTAATTCTATTTTTGCTATTAGATGTAATATTCACACTCGCTAAAAGTATTTTAAGAAGAATTATAATAGTTAAAACTATTCTAAATCGATCTACTATATTAATTACTTTAAAGACTTTTATAGATATTATCTTATTATCTCTTAGAATCTAATTAGTTAATCTATAGTTATTCTAGAGAATTAAATCGATAGACTTATTATTAATTAATTATTTATAAATATAGCAATAATTATATAGCGTAAGCTAAAGAATAATCTAAAGAATAATATTTATAAGAAGAGGAATAAAAGAGAGAAGGAAAATCGTATACTAGCTTCTACTATTACTTCTTCGATAATAATTATTTAACTTTCTACGCTTATACCTTTATCGAATTCTATTAATAGCCTTATAGATATTCGATTCTTACGTTTTAAAGCCGAACTCGCTATATATAGCTATTACGCCCCTTAACGCTTAATTAACTAAGTTTATAATTATAAGATAATAATAACTTTTATTACTTTATAGTAAAGGGCTAATAATTCGATATATATTAATTTAAAAGACTTTATTAAAGATATAAAGCTAAAAATCATATTATATAATTAAAGGGCTTTAAAGAATATAAAGAGAAAGCTATTAAATAAGTATTATAAATTTTATTATATCTAGAAATAGAAAGGCGATAATTTCGAGTATAAATAGAAGAAATTAGATATTAAATCGAGTATTAGACGTAACTTAACTAATAATATAAAGGCGTTTAAGCGTAAAAAGTAACTCACTTACGTCTTATTATATATTTATATATCTTTAATCTCTATAGTAAGGTATATTATAATTACTATTAAGACTAAAGACTTCGATATATAGCTATAAGAGAAGAAAGAATTCGAGAGTAAATTAAATTAAGATAAGATATTATTTAATAATAAGAAAGATTATATAGTATAAATAGCTAAATTCTTATTATTAGATTATTCTTTCGCTATATTTATTTTATTCTACGATCTATAGAATATATTACTTCTTCGAAAGAGATTACTCGTATTATATCTATCCTCCTATATCTAAATAGCTAGATCTAGAAAATTATTATATCGTTTATCGTTAAAGTATAGAATAACTAAATCTTAATATCTCTTAATCTACGTCTTAAAAATCGAAAATAAGATTTCGATTAAATTAAGATTAGACGAGTATAGGGGTAAATACTTTAATAAGACGCTTATATTATAATATATACGAATAAGCTTAGAATAGTAATATATCGAGATATTATTATATATAATAATTAAAAGAGACTTACTTCTATTAAAGCTATTATAATAAGAAAGTATATAATCTTATATAAAGTCGATAAAGATCTCTTACGTAATGGAGCTCTAGAGAATAATTTATAATAGATAGTTTTATATAATAAACGTCGATAGTAGACTTTATCTCTTTAATCGCTTAAACTCTTTACTAATTTATAATCTTATATCTAGAAATATCTAATTATATTTCTTATCGTCTATTAAATTTAATATCTAATTAATATAAGAGATAAGAGAATACTTATTAGTTTATTTATAAGTTATTAATTTATCTAGAAAGATTAATTAATTAACTCGCTAATTAATTAATATAGCGAATTAGCTAATATATAAAAAGATATTATATTAACTAGCTATTCTTCTTATTCGCTTATAAAATTAATCGAGACGTTATAAAGCTCTTTAAATAATACTCTTATTAATAATAAGATTAAATTCGTCGAAGAGTATATATACTAACTCGTCTAGATATAATATAGAGCGCTTTTTAAGATATATTAATAGTTATTTCTCGATATATTAATTTATAACTCTAAGGCGTTCGCTAGAGCTATTATTCGAAATAAAAACGATATTATATTTACGTTAATAAGATCTTATACTCTATAAAATCTATATATCTATATTATATAAACTAGCTAGAATAATATCGTTATTATAATTTTACTTAAATTTCTTTTAAATAAGAGTATAAATAAATTTTAAAATCGATAATAATATAGTAATAGCGATAATTAAAACTTAATAAGTATATTAATAATTAGACTCTAATTCGACTAATTCTTAAATATAGCGTATTTTAATCTTTTTCGAGGCCTTAATTACTAAGTTTTTTACTATTACTACTTTTACGATTTAATTAAACTAATCTCTCTTAATATAATATTACGGAAGCCTTTTATAGAAGTCTTTAATAGAGCTATTTCTGCTAGATCTAAGAGGCTTAGAGAGCCTAGACCAAATATATATTAGCGTCTTCAAGTATTCTCTATTAAAGCAGATTTCTAGATAGTAAGAATATATCTTCTTTTTATATTATAACTTAATTTATAATAATATAATAGTAATATTCTAATTATTTATAAGTATTAATAGTTTATACTTATAAGTAGATCTAATATCTTACTAATATTAATATTAATTTAAACCTCTTTCTCTAAATAACGTCTTTTTTAGATTAATTTAGATTATATTATTATTAATAGCTATATTAAGCTAGTTTCTATTATCTCTTTAGACACTATAGCTACTATTATTCTAGCTTTTAAAAGTATTTTAACTACTCTTTATTTTGCTAGCAATCTTATATATATTATATATTAAATTTAAGTATTTATAGAAGATATCGATCGAGTTTAAGAGATTTCTTATAAGATAGTAATTACTACTTATTATATTATAATTATTTATATATATTCGAAGTTAATAGTTATAAGATCTAAGTAAATATTAGAAGAGCTCTTTTCTATATATTAAAATATCGACATCTTATTACTTCGATATTTTATTAAAGCCTTCAATAATTATATAATAAACTTTAAAGCTACGTTAGCTATTTAATACTTCTTTAGATATTATAAGTCTCCCTCGATAGATAATATATCTATATTATTACGATCTGTCTTCTTATTT